ATTTGCACTAAACCCGCCCGAAAAATCCACCCACACAGTTTCTTCCAACTGGGGTCAAAGTAAAACTCCGACTGAGCTGTGTGGTTACGTTCCATTGCGTGTTTATTATTTATTGGGGCAAGGAGCGCTTCCGTAGGATCTAAACGGTATGACTAATCTGTGGGAAACCAGTAATGGAATAGATATTGACAAGTATAAGTTTACAACGCAGCCACAGGCTCCTAGCGAACGAAGCAACGCAGAGCCAATACACCACAGTAAACAAATAACATGAGTAGGTATCTACAATATTACAAGGTAATCAAATGGAGTAATACCAAAATAGAATGGGGACCTGTATTAACATAGGAGAGGTGTAAAATGTACTAAAGTAATAAGGACTAGTATCACAATAAAATGGGAACGTGTATTACCGCGTGTAAATATAACCTAACCAGCTGAAGGAACAAAAAAATAAACAATGAAAGCAGCAAGAAAGAAAACAAACCTGAAATGTCTCTGTAACACCCAAACGACGTGCACGCCGGAACCACAAAAATGTATATAATATATAGATTTAAGGTAATTTCAAGAGTTCTAAAATGAGCAAGTGTGGCGATGTAGATGCTGTCTGCAGAAATGACATAATAATACACAGAGTGAAGATTCGTCCAGGACAGATGCTTATCTGTTACAGGCGTTTATCAATTACTTAATACTTTGAAAATGGGAACTATAAGCTTAAGGAACAACCAAGCGGCACAAGGCCCACACCTCAGACCGTGTAATACAGTGGAAGAAACAAATGAAGATGCTTATGAAATCGTGAACAATGTTGATCCTGCGTTGGATATCTGAAGAGAAGTGACTGACATCCGTCATTAATTAAAATTCGTACTTTCTAAGATGAGTTGACAAAGATAAGCTCCTTGAAAGATGCAATGTGAAGAGAAACTTAAATTCTAACCAGTTGTGGTTTCTGTATGATGGTACAGTCTACATTAATCAAAGCCTTATGCCTTATCCTTGGAATATCTATGCCCTGGCTAGGAAGATTAAATGTGAAAAAACTATGCAGGAACAATAAACTTAGGAAATAAGAGGGAGACAAGACTGCATTAAAAACACCTAAAGATGTAGCCTAGAAATCCTTACAGTTTACTATCAAAATGTGGGACAACAGTAAAACTCTGGAATGTAAAACAATATTTTGTTAGATGGTAATAATGAGGCACTGAGTCTACAGGTAAAATTGTATGATAAAACATATTTTTTCTTTGCTGTATACTTTGCATCCTCTTGCAGAACAGAAAAATATACAACATTTAAAAAGTTGATACTCATAAATATTATCAAAATAATATAACAATTACTGTTCATTATTACTGGCTCAGAACATGATCTATTAAATGGTGGGCCTTACCATAGAATGCTAGCAAATGTTTTGTACGAGAAAAAGCATGTTGTCTTTCATTCTGATAGTAGTGCAGAACGTGACTTCCCAAGCTGCATACAACACAGGCACTTACTTAACTCTCGCGTACAATATCTTTGATGTGTATCTAGAATTCATTTTGTTTTTTCTTATGGCCCAAATATGCTCCTTATAATGGGCTCTAAATTGCATAAGTCTTAGGGAAATCTTGGCAGATCAACTGATAGACTCCACTCTTACTGTAAATGTCAGATCTTAAGTTACAGGGTTTTAGATGGTTTTCTTTGGTATTAATTTGCACATTTTCAATTAAATTGGTAGTTTTTTAGTTTGTTGGCCAACATACATGAAATGAAGGTTGTTTGTTAGTATTGTTCATGATTAAATTGAAAGTAGGTTTGCCATAAAACGGTGTCTAAAATAGTTTTTAGCAATTCTTGCCACAAATCATATGAACATACTTCTAGGGAAACTAGAACATCTATTACTTTTGTAACTTCTTATATGGGAATATATGTATACATATTTTCAAGATCAAATTATCATATTTATCTAAGGCAATGTTATTCAAATCATTTATCAGAATAACAGAGTTTTTCATATTAAACATTGGGTAACTATGGTTTAACTTTATGAAGAATTTCACCAATTTGTAAGCTGGAGCATTAGACGAATTTACTATTGGTTAAATAGGATTGTTAGACTTATGTAACGTAAACACCAAGTAGATGGAGTGTTTCTCTTCGATTCTTTGTATATATAATCTCTAGCATTGTAACATTGTTCCTTTATCTACTTTTGTTATTATAAGATGATTATTTAGTATTTTCTTTCTTATTCTATTTTATTTTGGGATGTTTGCAGCTGTGAATTATTTTGTTTTATTAGTCTGCTGGTGTGTCTTGTTACGAAAACCAAAATTTGTCATGGATGACAGTAATATTAAATAATTTAAATACTACAGAAACATACTCTTCAAGGATCCTTTGCTTACTTACCTATTTATTTAATGTAATTTTACATTTGGATAAGGGAATATTGTAACAAAATATTTTTAAAAGTTCTCTTAAATTTATGTTTTAAACACAGACCTAATGTACAACATTTCATATATTTGTTTTATAATACATAATTTAAATATTAATAAATCATAAACCACACACAAACTTAAATAAAAACCTTACATGCCACCTGAAGGTGGTCGAGGTTAGACTAAAACATGTCGTCCTACTGTGAAAAAGAACAAGACATTAAAAATACAAGCTGTACAGATGGACATTATTTACAGTACATATTTATTTTTGCTATTATATAGCAGAATGCCCTTGATAAAGATTTATTTATTTATTTTTATATTAATCTTATAAAATTATGACTTCAAGAATCCTGGCTGCACAACACACTCAAATAGCATTCGTGAGGTTCTCATGAAAGCCAGAATTAACAAAACATAACTACCAATTAGCACACAGTCCTGAGTAAATGGTGTGATGATTCTGTACCACAGGTTCATATAATATACTATATACAATCGCCAAACTTGTCCATAAGTACACATCAATCACTGCAGCTCGGCGACGATGTATCAAGCCGCTTCGAGGGCCAACTTTTCCTTTCTGTGTCGTTCTCTTGCCTTCCCTGGAACTGTCAGAATAATAACGTAATTATAGTAAAATAGGAACATGACATATATGGTTATCGCGGATGGCCAAAATTATTTGGTTGACGAATAACTTCCTATCCATTAGACTTTAAAAATAATTATACTGTTCACAACAAAGCTGGAGATTGAAATGACCGGTCCATAATGATTTTCACTAATGATCATAAACGTCTTCACTGCAAAGACTGACAGCATCTGATTTTACACCTTTCCTTCTCCCTTCATGCAGTAAAGTAAACTCAGAAAACAATTCAAATTTTTTTGGTCCTTTTATGTTGACTCCATTTATTTGAAACTTATCTAAATTTCTCCATACGTTCCTACCATCTTTCAGCAATAATCTGATGCAAGATGTATATCTGGCAATATTTGTATCCACTAACCGTTGCCATACGTCTGCTGTCTGTAAAACAGATTTCTTCTATATGAATGTACTTTAAAATCCTTAAAAAATAGAACCAGATGTCACAAAGAGAATGATTTAGAATACATACATTAATCTGCAGGAAGGAATAAGAAAAGTGAACATAAAACCTTCAATGAAAATTATTCAGCACTGAGGCAGCAGTTTCTTAAATAGGAAAGAAAGGATTAAGGAAATTTAACGTGAACTGGGTTTCGCTGCCAGTATTTCGAAAACTGAAAATAATAGTTTAATCTTTATCATATAGGAACAAGGGATTTAATTCCCATATTGTGGGACTGCCAACCAAACTATAAATTTTAGGTTAATGTTTTAGGATAAGCCAGCTGGACTGCACATAAGCCTCGACACACTGGTGAAAAAGGTCAAACTACTGGCAACGGAATGGTTATTTAGTGCAGGTGCACTTACATCTGCAGTTATTTCATGATATAACGTGAGGAGGAAGATGCCAATTAAATGACATTCAATCCATAATATAAGTGGAGAAAAGCATTATAAATGGGCTTTTGTTTACAAGTTGGTTTTATTAGTTTTCTGTTTGTTAAAATTATATAGAACAATAAATTGGTCCCAGTGTTTGCTTGAATTGTGTAGAAAAAGGTAATTGAAGATTTGGTTCGTACATTTTCTGTTCAGAGGCTGTTCCGGGAATATTGCAAGGCTGAAATTATTTATACTCTTGTAAGTTTGTTCACTTGATATTATGGTTATAAATACATTTCTCATAGTTCCTTTTGTTAATTTCACTGTAGTGATTTGTTTTTGTTTCCGAATATACCCGAGTCGGGAGTGTCGAGAGAACTAATAACACTGTGAACTGAAACCCACCCTCTTTCAACTGCTGAAAGGGCAATTACAGTTCATTACAAAAGAATTATCTCTACAGAAATGTATTAGCTTCTGAATGTCTATTACCACACAGAATTTCATGATCTATATTAACCATAGCTAGTTTCACTACCATCTCACAAGTTCACGTGGCTGTTACACCTGTTTTACTGATACGATGAAATTATTAATTAAAAATGTGAGGAGTGCTTTAATCACAGGATATTCATATCAAGTTTCATAACATCCATCAACTGCATACAAATTATTAGGAGGGTCAGACACAGGAGATACACATGACAATAATATAAACCTATTTTTGTTTATTAACTATGTAAATATGGCTAATAATACTGTGATACTGGGAACGACCCGTTCTTCAAGTGCCTGAGCACTGCGGGTCCCAACTTTTTGTTGGCTCGATCTATAGACATTTTGGTAGGACTCCTTGGACGAGGGATTGGCCCCGTCGCAAGGCCTCTACCTATTTACAGGACAGCACAACACAGAAAAACGCTGACAAACATCCATGGCTTGAGTGGGATTCGAACCCACGGTCCCAGTGGCACAAAGCCCACGCCTCAGACCGCGTGGCCCCTGCAGACCCCATGGCTAATAATACTATATAGTAAAGTACTGGTGCCCTGTTTGTTCAAATGCACAGTATTTTAAATGTCCTGAATAAGCAGTGTCTCTATGAAACAGTCTTGCTGGGTAGGCTCCTCCTGAGGAACATCCGGCATCTCAGCCTGGATAATTTGCTCCAGTTCTTCCTCCACCGCTTCTTCATCCTCAGGTGTCAGAGCTCCAGCCAGCAGGTCATCAATCTCCTGCAGAGGTCAAAACAAAGTAATCCAACTTGTTGTCCTTAGGTTACTGTATATAACTTTGGCTCTGGCAGTCAAATCAGGAGTGAGTAGAAATTGTGCAAAGTCAGTTGGCTGGTCACTCACTACTCTTAAATGCACGCTTTAAAGACTATGAAACCTCCGAAAGGAGGCCCTATGCTCCACTTAGGAGTTACAGGAACTATCTATCTCTCTATTAGTCTGACTGGCTTCCTGATTTAACCCTTCAAGCTGAGAGCCAGTGTACACTCTCACAACAGTTAAACATTCTCTTTGGAAATATCTGGAGTACACACTTGCTGACTCCTGGCTCAGAGAAAAATATCACTGTTCTGCAATCTGTTGTATGTATGATGAACAAACTGTAGCACTAGATGCTGAAACAGTTTCCAATGGCAAAGTCCTCTCTTTCATATGCTTACATAAGACCTACGCAGGACCTTTTATGACCTACAAACCAGCTACCTAGTACATTACATGGCTAAGAAACACTCTAGTTATTAAGTAGTATGTAATTGTGACAGTGGAAGTGAGGTAGATGCCTCTGACTTCGATGATAGTGCTTCTGTGATAAACCCAGACAAAGGGAAAGTTGAAAAGGAAACATGTTCTCAATTGGAAAGACTCTCAAATTCATGAACTTCGAGTATTTTTTGTATATCCACATGTATGATAATATACCAAATGCCTACTACCAAACTAAAGCCACTTTCTAACCCAGAACAATTTAAGATGTTTTAAGAATTACACTGCATTAAATTTTAGTCTCCTAACATCACCTAAAAATTTCAAATTCAATTCGGTAGTTTGTAAAATAAATAAAAATAAAAAAATCCCATATAAAATACTACTACATCATCTTTAAGATACCTCTGCCGCATGTAGCCTGTGGGGGTTTAAATTCTGTCTAGAAGTGTTAGAATATTTTCAAGTTTCATGATCAAAATGTACAAACCCTCTTAAAGTATTAAACCACAGTCCCACTGCTATCATACGACAATAATGAAATGTAGGACGTGAAATTATGCGTACCTGTTGCTTCTCTACTCCTTCTCTTGTCTCATCCAGAATCTTTTCCACTTCTTCAACATTCAAAACTTCATGTATTTTCTTCAAGGCTTCGTTGCCTACCTTCAACCCATTTATAACCTGTCAAAAAACACATTACAATAAAATTAAATTTCTTTTATGGTATTTGGTAAATGACACAATAATAAATACAGCAATATTGTGTACATGCATACACACACATTGTGTCAGGATGTTAATACATATAAATCTGCGTGTGTAGAATTTGAGGTTTTCACAGCAGTGAATCTGAAGACGGCTGTTTCTGGGTTGTTGCACCACGTAGTCTGAAACGTTGGTAAACTTCTACTACACTACACGGTGCAACATCCCAGAAGAGAGCCATCTTCAAATCAGGATGTTTTTTAAAAATGTACCCAGCACAAAAATGTTAAGGTTGTGAATAATGATTAAGGGGTTACACGACATTAAAAATTACACGGGAATGGTGTTATGTTGGGTCAGAACATCTGATTCTGAGTAAGTTAGAAAATGTCTTTTTATCTTTTGCAGTCTGCTCTGTATAACACCTTCATCACCTACTTTAAGCCCAACAGTATGTCAAAGAAAACATTCCTAGGCGACATAACTGACATCCACAAGTCACTAATCCACACTGACAGTGATTGAAGTGCTTCTTCCTCTGATGAGTCTGACATCCCACACCACCAAAACAGACATGTAAGAAAGATCTGGAATGTTGACCGGACAGCACAACAGAAAACCATGAACTCTTTCATATTCCCACCACCAACGGTGATAAATACATGACAAGAAATTTCAGAGTGTGTCTCAGAAACATCAAGGAAGAAACAAGGCTCGTGTACACTTAGCTTGGAGTTCCTCTGCATCCTGAAGAGTCTACCAAAGGCAATGTAAAATATTTCATATTTTTATATCCCAAAATTTCAGATTATTATTATTCTTCAGACTGGGATGTAAGTCTGACTCTGAGAGGCAGGTGAGAAATGAAATGTTGGCAGTGAATGTGTTAAAAGTTCTAAGATACATGCCACTCATTTGCATTCCATGGTGTAGCCACTTAACAGTAAAAATTCTTAAAATAATCTAATTAAAAAACAATCCTTAACACTTCTTTTAAGTAACAGATTTTATACCAGTTTTTGTATGAAATTATTACTGTACCTACCGTTTCACAGCAACAAAGTGCTTCCTGCAAGCAAAACTGCCAAAACCTAATCTTATGACTCCAACCCAAAGTTGAACATAAGAAAAGTGCTTCTTTATGTGGAATAAATTTGACAGGAAAGGATATGGTGATTAACATCTTGAAGAGTTCTTTAAATGCTGCCATGCTTGCCCTTGCAGCTAGGTTTAAATTACAGAAAGTCCCAGATTTGATATGCTTGTTCAGTGCAAGCAACTGACCAGGTCTCAGAGAGATTATGTAAGTTGGTTAAAGAATATACAACTGTGTTAAGAGAACAGTTTGTATATGGATCTCTGAAATAAAATATTATGTTTGTTAATTAGTTTTATAAATTAAATTCTAGATGCAGCCCCCTACTGGGGAATAGTGCTAAACAGTTTTCCATTATAAGTATACACTTAAAAAAAATATAAAACAGGATTAGCAAGTTAAAGCAACACACATGCCGTATCACTGCAATACAACAGAAAAACTGGAAATCATATGTTACAAGATGGGGCATCAAGTGGAGGTTATGTTTAGTAAGTGGATCAATGATAATCTAAAGAAACATGCTGAAGGTAACAGACACGCTCTGTGCCTAGAAAATGCTATTATTATTACATCCAAATTAGTATACTATGAAATTATGTTCATTAACGGCATACAGAAGAACCATAACTACAGTGTATACAGTAATTGTGAATTATGAATCGTGTTACTGCAGGGCAAAAGTGCGTTTTAAAAGCAGAACAAACACAGCTCTCATTGCATTCAGCTTACACACATCCATTAAAATGCTGAAACCTTCTTACCTGCATCTCAATTTGACAGAATTCTAAATCATGTACAAGAAATTCCAAGTTCTCCAGTTGGATATCAGTCCTTTGAAGAATTTGTTCCTGGAACCTCTTTTTCCTCAGCAGTAACTTTGCACGTCTAATACAATCACAAAAACAAAAAATCTGTGTGACTTTAAAATTTCTAAACTAGCCTTAAAACACTACTGAATACCTTCATGAATGAGGTAGATATTACTATGGCAACTTCAACGATAATGTATGTAATATTCAAAATATCATTCATTATACAAATTCAAATTTTAATAAGTTACTACTGCATTCACACTCAGTGAATTAGGAATGTTGATTGCATGCATTCTTAACATTGGCACAGCCTAAGATTTCACAAGCTTCATGTTCCAATCACTTAATTTTTATGAAATGCCATCAGCAATTATTGAACAGGGCAGTAACTGGACCAAGAGCTAATATGGATGCAGCAGCTAAGTGCATAGTCATTGCTCCTGCCAGGAATCAAACCCTAACCATAGTCTGTAACCAGTCATTTTACCGACTGAATTATTTCAAATATAAAAGCCAACTACCAGGCATATTTTCAGTACATTCACAATCAAATATTGTTAAGTAACAAATTTGGCTTTTATCTCAGTTAATATTTCTTATTTTCATGCTTCAAAACCAGTCACAGCATAAAGAACAGCTGCAAGAAGTTATGGCATAGACTCACGCTAACATAATGCACAAAATACTATAAATAGCGAGCAGTACTTCAATAACTTCAAGGGTAATTTAGACACTGCAAAGTAGAATATATGATGCTTAATGCAAACCAATATTTTTAAATGTGTAGGATTTGAGGTTTTAATGGCAGTGAGTCTGAAGATGGCTGTCTTGTGGGTATATATAAAAACTCACTCTTTCTTTCCAGCTTGCAGTAGCTTGCATGCAAGCTGTTTATCTTTTTCCAGGTTCTTCTCTATTCTCTTCTGATACTGCTTTATTTCATCCCGCTGTTGCTTAAGTTGCTAAAATCAAAGGTATGAACATGACATAACCTGTATAACATAATGCATTTCACCTTAATAAAACAAAGTTGCATAATCAGAATTTAACAGAGGAAAGTTGCACAGAAAAAGTGCGAGTAAATTATGAAACGCAGCATATCATATAATCCTATTGGGCTTCTGCCATTTTAACCCAAGGTGGATTTCGTATTACTGCTGTTAATTTAGACGATATAACCTAGTAATAGAAATTCCATATCTTACCAAAACAGCTTTATCATGTTCTGTAACTCTACTCTGTTGCTTCTTACTTTTCCCAAATAATGCTCCCATTATCAATGACGAGGTTTATAAAAACTTACGTTACACAAACACTACCAATATTATACATTCCTCGTGTATCAATAACCGACAACCCGAACACGTCGCTTTTGAAACAGCTGATTATCAGGTTAGCCAACATGTGTTTCTTAATAAACACTATATTTAGAAATATAGTTACTTTAGCTTTCTACACAGTTAGTTACCTTATTTTTATAAATCCTAACATGAAGTTATTTATGGAAACTGCTGTTTGCAACGAACCGGTGGACTCAAGAGATCAGTTCTGCCCCTGTCCTTTCTGCTGTGACGCATTGTCAATCAAATGTAACAACATTAAAAAAAATAAAGGAATCTTTTCGTGTGGTCTAACATTTTATGCAAGGTGATTTTAAACCCTTAAATCTGCTAACTAATACGGACCCATGGCCTTACGGCAGTCTAACTTATGTAGCGACTTTTCTATGGCCCTGGTTCTGTTTCAGTTTTGATGTTGGCCTCTCTGTAGATCAAACTTCCACCCTTGCACCCCCTCACACCGCCCTCTGTTAATCCTAAACACACCACAGGCTCCCACGCCCGTTACCAATAAATTCAATTTGTAGAATCCCATTTTACGTATTTATGTTACGAAAGTCATATCGACTTGACAATACATAAATATTATTATAAATATATGAAAGAGACCAAGGCTCATGCGCAACAGGTTTTAGGTTGTGCCAGAAGGTGTAAAATTAATAATAATTATGTTTTAAATATGTCTGCTTGAAAGCAGAATGGGGTCCCGTAAGTCTAGCGGCCCGTGTGTAGCTGAGACCGACGCCCTTGCCCTGTCAGAACACTCATCCACGCGACGTAAAATTTCCCCAGATGTGCTTCTACAAACGACAGCAGAAAACTTGTACCAACATAACATATGTATTTATATTTTTAATAATGACATTTAGTTTCGTCACGCATGCCACCAGCTTCAGTGCAAGATGTCAGGCTGACGAGTGAACTCTACTTTGACCTTGTTATCAAGTTGAATGTTCACTCGACTTATTTTTATAGCCTTGCGTCTAAAGCCTCTGGAACATCACGACTAGCTTCAGTACGTATATTCTCCACATCACGTTGAAGTAAAATTTTACTCTGATGAAGGTAGGTATATAACAATAAGTTCATGCTGTTCTCTATGAAGTACACGAGTGATTTTCTCTTTTCGTACAAATATTTCTATTTGTATTCCATGGGTTTTGTTTTTCCTAGGCATCGTGTGTAACAGATGGAACCTGTAACACATATAGATCAAGAGATGGCATCAGAAACTTTCCTTCCGATTCAACTTCTGTTAGGGATATTGAAAATTGTATTGCAGATTTTGTTCCTTCCTTTCGAAGAAGAGAAAACAGACTCTGGACAGGTATACCATGCCACTGACAGCTCAGCAGGTAGTAGTAGTAGTAGTAGCAGTAGCAGTAGCAACATATAGAATATGGAGTAGAAGCGTAACTTCAAGATAACCTCAGCTGTGAATCAAAACTCAAGTCAATTGTCTTAATTCGTTGACGAAGAATGTATTTCCCAAATCCTCGTGAATTTGCCTGCTATCAACGTAACAATGTTCGATAATATCAATGCAAAGACAGTCGAATTGTGATGGACTACGGGATGTGGTTAGGAGAGCCGTGTCATCCGCGCTGTCCAGTAGCTCGACATGGCAACACGGCAAACTTGCAACGGCTGGCTTGTAAACGAGACCTTTGACCAACACGGAGACGAAGACCCGTTTCACACATACACGGCGACCATCCAAACGGCTCCGTTTACACGGTCAAAGGTCGAAGATTATACGAGAGCTCTCACACGCACCGGTGCCGTCTATACGGTAACGG